AATGGGGCGGAAAGCTTAAATTATAGACCCATCATGTAATATATCGTTGGAAAGCTTAAAAGACGCTCTTTTACATGGTGAGTATTTAAAGTGACCTTAATAATGCGATTTTGAAAGTTATGCGAATTACAAGCTTTTTTTCCACACGCGAAACCCAGTTTTTGTGAAAAAAACACCCTGTATATTGTCAAAATCAAAAATTTTGTAATTTTTTTATATTTACCTTAAAATTATCTTTAAAACAAAAAAAAGAAAAATTAAATCGGTTCAGTGGATCTCGATCTATAGCGGCGCAAAGTACGCGCCCGGCCGCCATTTTGAATGGCCGCCATCTTGGATCTGCCACCATTTTGGAAATGCCTCTTCGACTCAAAACTCTTAAAATGTCATCTAGTTTGACCTCCCAAAGTGGCAAAACTGAATCAAGATTTGCAGCGTACTTGCCATAAGCCACCGTACTACCAGTATTATAGACCCTAAAATAGACCGAATCTCTGATACATTCCGTAAAATATACACCTTCAACGAGCAAAAAATTGTAGAGTTGAGGTAATTAAGCTGGGGGCCCAAAAACGACCCTTAGCAGGTATTGATACCCCTCCTTTATATCAATATCTAGGTGTCTAGTTATTTTCATTTTGGGAAATCTTGATTTTTCCCGATTTTTGACTGCTAAATTCTGATCTCATATTTTTTCCGCATCCTGATTTTTTGCGAAGAAAAATTAAAAGTTCTAAGCGTATGCGAAAGCAGAGCTCTAGAATTAAGTTCTAAGCCGAATGTAACCTCACAAAAATAGCTCGATAAAAAAAATTGATCGGACGGCCGACTTTTCTCAAATCCTGATTTTACGACCGATGTTCCCTCAAATCCTAATGAAATCGGGATTACATCCTTATTGACCTGATATTCAATGACCTGACCTCAAATTCGGATGGAATTGGGAAAATCGGAAAAATCCTGATGCTATAGTCACCCTGAATTCTCATTGGGAAATGCTTACTCTGGTTTAGTCTATTTACCGCCTGAGTCTCAAATCGATGTATTTTTCTTTCACTTTACAGATAGCAATGGTGGAACTCCAAATAAACGAACCTACCAACGTGCCAGAATGGCTGTTCATAATGTTCTCAATCTGCACTACCATCTTAGTCGCCGTGCACATTTTCGCCCTGATGATCAGCACATACCTCCTGCCGAACATAGACGCGATCAGCAAGCTCCAGTCGACGAAACTGGTCAAAGAATCGCCCCACGAGCGAATGCGCGGTTTCGTCGAGCTCGCGTGGACCTTCTCCACCGTTTTCGGACTCTTCCTATTTTTGGTGGAGGTGGCAATACTGTGCTGGGTCAAATTCTGGGACCACTCCATCAACGCCGCCATCGCCGCGACCATCATCGTCATCCCGGTTCTGGTGATTTTTGTAATTTTTGTATTTTACTTCTATCATAATTTAGTCGCTTTTAAGTTCAAGGCGTCCGTGTCCGACGTGAAAGAGCTCGAGGCCATGAAGAAAAAATTGGACGATGCCTCGCCTGCGTGATTCCTGAATAAATCGTGATTATGTCCACGAATGTGAAATGTGTTTTTCATTCTTTTACAATTTTAATGTATCGATTGTCCAAGTCAAAAAGCACGTATAAAGCAGTAGCGTGGCGTGAATTGCGATGTATCGATTGTTATGCCATTTAAACCTATGGTAAAGAATCGATTATTAAGGTGTTCGCTGCGAACACCCCATTTATCGATCCTTTTCCATAGGTTTAAATGGCATAACAATCTATATATCGCAATTCACGCCACGCCACTGGTATGAAGAGGATATAAGATACGATTGTGCGGACGAGAGCCGCACAGTGGATCGAGTCATTGGGGGAGGTCGGACAAAATGTGGAAACTTTAAAAGCTCGTGACTCCATCCATACAAAACTTTGAGGTTGAATAAGTGGTTTCATTGATTTTCTTGTGAGGCACACCTTAAAATTTAAAATGTGACGAAATTAACATAAAAATTTGCAGTTTTAGTACAAAATTCCATGTCCGACCTCTCTGATAGACTCAATCCATACTGTGCGACGCTCGTCTTCTACGCCCCGTTGAACTGCCCCGTGTGGCGTCAGCATCGAGAGAAAAACTCAAAACTTCATTTGGACGTATTTCTATTAAACAGAACTATGCGCAGATGCACTGGAAAAAAAAAACACATTGTATCGAGAGTCCAGACTCCTGAAAACATTGACAAGAAGAAATACTCTTGATTCAATCGGATTTTTGCTTAAATCAGAACGAAATCCGCTTAAATTAATAGGCTTGGTTCTTGATTTAAGCTAGATTCTGATTGAATCAAGAGTATACTTTATCTCCTCGATGTTTTTAAGAGTCTGGACTCTAGATCCAAATGTGTTTTTTTTCCCAGTGTGAGAAATATCGACGGTGAAACTACCAAACCACGTATCTCGGTTTGCGACGTCGCAGACTTCCTGTCATTCTTTATTTTTTAAATGAAAAACTACTTAACGTCCAGTCTTGAAAATTCCTGTGATTTTTCCTCTTCGTGCGGAGAAAATTCTGTGAAAATTTCAAGGAATGATATTAATTTGGTCTACTTCAAAAAAAAAATAAAATGCAAGCGTAGATTTTTAAACACCGCAAACGAGATACGTGGTTTGGTAATTTCACCGTCGATATGGGGTGTGCTTTAAAAAGCTGCATAAGAAACAATGTAAAAGTGGGCGAGATTCCTTTTGAAGAATTGAAAAAGTGGGATTTTAAATTCAGCAAACAGAACTATGTGCCAACTAAATTCAGGATCTATGAACCGCGGGCATGGCACGAGAGCGGTGTGGACAGGGCTCATGAGTTAATGACCACTACGAGGAGCCGCGACGATGGCATGCATCTCCGTTGACGTCACTGGCGCTTTATTATTCTCATTCACTCTTACGGCCGCAGAACTGACGAGCACCCTCATATTTCTCACCTGCGCACAAATCTGTTTGATAGAAATACGTCCACTTAAGCCTGTGCTCTGATCGTACTTAAATTTTAATGTTATTACATCGCATATGCAGGGTGTTTACTAAAACAGGCTGGATAAAAATCAGTAGGTAGGTACCTACTTTTGCAGTACTTTTTCAATATATTCCCAAGAAATTCAGTACCTATTCTCTCAGTGCCTCCATTTGACGAAGTTCGAGAAATTCCGAAATTTTGAAATTCTCGTTCGAATAAACGGAAAAAAACACATTGGATCTAGAGTCCAGACTCTTGAAAATATTGACAAGAAAAAGGACTCTTGATTCAATCAGATTTAAGCTTAAATCAAAAGGAAATCCGCTCAAATTAAGAGGCTTGGTTTTTGATTTAAGCTTAAATCTGATGGAATCAAGAGTATTTTTTCTTGTCGATGTTTTTAAGAGTCTGGACTCTCCATCCAATGTGGTTTTTTTCCAGTGTGACGTAGCCACAAAATGTATTTGGTGACCGGAAGATTAACTGACTGCACAGTCGGAATCTTGCAGGCAAATACTTCTCTAAGAATCAACGCCCAGGGGATTGCATACTTCCAGGCTTCATTGAAAAACACGCGTGGTACGAAGGAAAAATTTCCGCACATTCTTCCGGAATCTCCGCATCGGTGCTTCTGGACCGGCTAAAATTGGCGGATCTAGCAAATTAGCAACGTTGTTTTTCTCCATTTAAACATATGAAAATGTATCGATTTTTAAAGGGGCCAGGTGCTCCGACAAGAATCGATTATTTAACTTAGGTTTAAATGGAGGATATCCGGTGTTGCCAAATTGCTGGATCCGCCTCTGCCCCTAAATAATCAGTACTAATCCCGGACTGGTAGACACCCTGCACATGACACGACTTTTACTGAGAGATTCAGCCAGGAAGTCTGCACCGTCGCAAACGGAATTAACCGTGTGAAGCTTTCTCGACCAAAAAATCGGACTCCTCGGGCCATTTCCGAGTGGACTAGCTTGGTTTCAGTTCGATCGAAGAACTTCCGATTGAGACCCCGAAATTTTAGTCCGTCTAACCCCTCCCAAGTACCATTTCTCAAAGGAAAAATCGTAAGAAAATATATAAAAATGTATATATGTTGTTCGTAAATATATTACGATTTTATCGGCGATAAAATCGCCAGGATCATCAATATCTGAGCGACTATCCCCGATTTTATCACGATAAAATCGCGCTTTTGGGTGCTTTCACAATAACTGGAATAGTTTTGTCGCCGTAACAGACACAGGGCCGGATTTAGGGGGTGGATACATGGGCCGGGGCCCAGGGCGGCAAATCTAGGGGGCATAACTTTGCAATTACTTTAAATGTAGGAATAAAAAAAATCGGATTTCGAAAAAAAATTACAAACGAGAAAAGGCGACAAAATCTCTCATTTCCTGAGAGTGGGTATACAAATGTCTAATTCTGTCGTCTTTCAGTGATACAAGAGACAGCACCTACAATTAGGCGAGTTAAGAGAGAAACCCAACACGCAATTTTGGAACGGCGCGGCTTGGAGAGAAATGATGACGAGGACTTGAGATGAAAAGGAGAAGCCCTTGGTGCGGCGCGGCGGTCGGCATGTGACACATATTAGCGCCTACAGGACTGCGTGAATACTTCACGCATTGCATCAAACACAGCAGAGCGGTCACTGCGGTCAGCGTGAAACGCATGGCGCCTACAAGAATGGATAAATACTACAATTACTACACGCATTGCGCCAAACGGCCAAACACAGTGCAGTCAGCGCGGCGGCGTGACGGCGGAAGTTAAAAATATTAAACCACATTTATATTTGTTCTTTCATAATTTTTTCGTTCATTTTTTATAAATGGAGGGCCTCGTCAACACAGAGATAGGTTAACGGAACTTGACTTTCGCGCAAAGTTCCGTGAACTTTGGCTAGTAGTATTGACAGGGCTTTCGCAAGAAATGTGTCGAACACGAGCAAACGCGTCTTATGCACCCCTCCTCCTCCGGCACGTTCACTTGATGGTTTTATTGATGTTTCAAAACGAATGAAGATGGAGCGGCAAAATATAGGCGGCCCATGGGCGGCAAATAGGTAAATCTGGCCCTGAACAGACAACACATTTTTCGGTCATGTTTTTAGTAGAAATGATGATCACTCGAATTTTTTCGCATTAATCTTCAGAGGGTTACGTATTATAACGCTTTCTAATGATTTATTGCCCTACTTCTCAATCAGTATTATGTAAATTCCGAAAATGTGCAGTCTGTTTTGCGGTAAAAAGTCAGCGTAACAGACAGCACATTTTCGGTCATTTATATATTAAAATTGACAAGTGGAGCGATAAATCTTTGAAAGGCGTTATAACACGTAACTCTATGTAGATTAATGCAAAAAAAATTCGAATGATTATCATTACTACTAAAAGTATGGCCGAAAAATGTGTTGTCTGTTACGGTGACAGAACTATTCCAGTTATCGTGAAACCACTCTTTTATCGCCCGACAATTTATCGCGATATTTTCGAAATAAAAATCGCGATTAAGTAGCGATTTAATCTCGATTTCATCGACAAAAATGTATTACGATTTTATCGGACCAAAAATTACGATGTGTAGCGATTTAATCGCCATAAATCGCAATTTTTAATCCGATAATATCTCGATATATTGGCACCGATATAATCGCGATAACCAACCGATAAAATCGCTATTTATCGCGATCACTGCTACTTGGGCTGCCGATTTTTCTCGATTTGGATTGGGAAAAAATTTTGACCCTGACATACTTATTAGTCCATGTAATCCATTTCGATTTTTCTCGATTTTAATTTTTATTAAGTCACGTGCGACTAAAGTACTTGACAAGTTACAGGATATTGTATGATGGAAGGATTTCCCTGCGTGCAACTTCTTCTTGAGAAGAATGAAGGTGCCTATCTTGAATTAGAAGAAGAAGGAGGTGTGTATTACACCCCTTTAAGCAATAAGTAATTGCATGCACAGTTTGATTTCAAGCCCTGATTTGACCTACATAGATTATGGTTTTTTCAGGAGAGGAAAGTTTGAATTGATGGTTTAGAATAAGAATTACAAACTTTCTTTCTCAGGTATGAGGTAATTTTGAAAGTTAGAATATGTTCAAAATGTTTTGCAAAGAATTTTGATGAGATTATGTGTTTTAGGGTGAAAACATAGTTTTTTAACCCTGCATAATGGTTCATTCTCCATTAAGTATGATTTTCAACAATAATTTGAAGAATTCCTAGATTACTCTCTATCTTTTCTGAATCTTTAGAAATTTCCTGACAGGTTGTCCAGATTGCTAGCCACTCAGGCAGTATGAGGGAGGGGATTTAAAGTAGTTGTCTGAAGATAACAAAAATGAGAACAAATCATATTTTCTAAAATATAAAAATATATTAGACATAAAACATAAGAAATTTTATCCATGATCTTGATCTTGCCATTTCCTAAAACAAAGTGCCTGCACAGTAAAATTCACAATCCATTCAGGAATAAAAAAAATTAATAAATAATGAATGAGATAAAATGAATAAATAAATAAAAAAAAACAAACAATTCAATGAGTAAAACTGAAAATCAAGCAACCGGGGAAATGATACAAGAAAATATACACACATTTTCATTCATATATTGTCTTCATTTTGATCATATTTAAAGCCAATAAAATACTACTTAGCATAGAGAGCTTAGAACATCAGCATAATTGCAAGCACGAGAAAGTCTGACACTTTTCATTCTTATTTAAAAGTTAAATAACAGTTAAGAAAACTCAAGGAACATGGATACTTTTATTACCAAGCTTGAGATTTTTATTCACAATTATTACGTAGGAATTTTTATCACAGCCGAAGTTTTTCATAACAAACATAGGTAGCAGAACAAATGAGCTAGGTTTCCACCTTCCTTCAACACTTCAAAAATGTTTAAAAATTTAATTCCGTCATCAAAAAAGTGTGTTATACATATATTTGAACAGATGATGGATCCTGAACAAGCTGATAAGCTCCTTGAAAACTGACGTGTCACTAAGGTATGAATTTAATTGTGACGCAGAGGCTATCCTACTGTTTGTTATAAATAAGTAAGGCCAACATACAATTACATACATTATACAATTACTGTGGTCTTTCAATCGTACATTGACTCCTCATTAGCGGTCAGTGTGAGTACTTTAAATTAATCCGATTTTATTCTTCATTTTCTAGGGCAAGTAGCATAATCTTTTACTTTAAAATACTCCTCATCTAAAAAATTGAGACAATAAAGAGCCTTGAACATAAATATTTATATCTCTCAGGATTCTCTGAGAAGATTTAACATAAAAACCGGTTCAGCCTTTTAATTGCTTGATTTTTTCTGCACTGATAATTAAATAAAAAAAGAAAGTAATATTCATGTTCTTTAAAAGAATGTACATTTTAAAAGTTCACTTGGGAGGGATGAAAAAAACCGAATTCAATTGCATTATCACTGGGCAACTTGTGCGGAAAGTTGATCTTAATCGGAAAATAGAGTACATGAAAAACAGACGTGCATAAAATGATCATCTTTTAGCTATAAAACTTAAGAAGGGTGCAAGGGTGTTTGGTAAAATATTAATAAAAATTGATTCAGATCACGAGAGGAAAGAATCTTGACAGATTGAATCTGATCTTTTAATTTGAGTGAACTCTGTGGGGCAAAAATCCGTTTGCACGATGATTACTGATATTAAAGAACAAAAAAGGGAAGGAGGAGGCGATTTCCAGCGGCTTCAAGAATACTGATTCCAAGGAATGAATGCCACTGTCTCTTCAGCTGCAGCAGCTTTGGGGCGTCGGGTCCAAACCTGAGCGTTTTGTGATGACTACTCTGGTGAATTCCTCCGACAGAGTGGGATGGATTCCAACTGTTGACTCCAACTGATCGAAAGTAATGTTGCACCTGAAAAAATATAATGGTTGAAAAAGTGGACACATTTTATTTAAAAAAAAATAAAAAAAATTGAGAACTTTTTACCTCTTCAATTGACTTTTGAAAAATATGTAAGACTTCCTGGTGATGAGATGTAATAGACTGGACTAGTGGCTACGTCATGGTTAAATGTAAACAAGCAGAAAACTTTTTTTCTGTTTTGCCCCCTTCTGCCATGATGGTAAAATGCGTCCGATCACTCTAAATGTTTCTAACAATCAAAAATTTGTGTGTCTAAGGAGTCCTTAATTAATTTATGACTGGTCAATGACTAAATTCTAATAAATTAACACAACTAACGCATGGAGAATTTGCGAATGAGGTTATGTTAGTTTGTTTTGGTTTGAACCATGAGTTCGATACTATACCAAATGATCTAGTCACTAAATTAGTCCATTCCTCAATTTCTGGGTCAAATCTTAATCTCTCACTTGGGAAATAAAATTTTAGAACAGTATGATTTGTACTAATGTATAACTTTCATGGCGTTACCCATTTCTTCTAAGCTTTTGCTAGGAAAAAAAAAAAAACCAATTATGGTGAAGAAAGAGAACTCACTTCATGGCAGCAGCATATCCTTGTATAACTTCACCAGCATTGGGTCCAATGAAATGCATTCCTAAAATTGTTCGTGGGGAATTTCGTAAACAAATCACTTTAAGATAGCAGCGTGATGGGTTTCTTTGAGGAATGAAAAATTCTGTTGGTTTGTAAAACGCATGGTAAACCTGCAATCATTGAGAATATGAAGATAAATAACACTTGAAAATTAAATTTTGAACATCCACCGAACTCCTAATTTTTAATATTCAATGTTACGAAGGATGAAAATACTTGAGAGTTTCATAATTTAATTAGAAAAGGGGCGCCATGCTGAGCTTCAGCATAAATTTTCAAAAAACAGTTGACTTTGAAACTAAAGATTAAATGGTACTACTTGTATGGGAGCATCCTTCTACTTTTAAACTATGAAATGCATGCAAAGATAAAAATCAAGATTGCGAATACTACATTATAGCAGTGACGGATTTCTACTTAATTTCAACTTTTGAATTCCCTGTTTTTTACACATATTTTCCCTGATTGATTGCATAGAACCTCTTTATGACTCATTCATTACAGAGGTGTAACACAATACCTATCGTGAGGTTCTGATAGCTGATGACTAAAAAGGCTACCCTGCCTTTTAAATTTCTTCTCCAACTTCACTATGACACCATCTTATTATATTAAAAAAATTGGATTTATTTATGTTCAAATAGATACACATTCCATTTTAAAAAGCAAAAATTCTAGAGTCAACATTAAATTTCCAGGGTTTTTCTTCCAAATTCTATTCCCTGAGTGAAAATGCAATAGGATGTAGGAATATCTGGTGGGCAAGCTGTACATTTCTGCCATAATATATCAGTGAAAGCAAACAGCACAGCAATGAAGGTGTTGAGAACCGTTATACTGAATATTAAACAGTCTGAATTTATTGAACTAAGCAGAAACAGGTTGAAAGAAAGCAAAACTACTAACCTCAATTTTATCCTCCGTGTACTTGGAAATTGCAGTTTCTTCACTGAGACCAACGCAGCCATATTCAAGCGGAGTAAAGACAGTTGTTGCCACATTATCATAATCCATTTCTAAGGTTGCACCTCCATATAAACGTGCAGCAAGGAGTTTTCCAGCTTGTACAGCAACTGGTGTTAGTTCTGGTCTTCCCTATAAATTAGAGATCAAACATTGTTTTAAATGACACAAAAATAGACAAGATGGTAACTGAATTAGAGCTAGAGATGGTGACTCAACCAAAATGCATAAAAATTCAGGTTAAAACTGACTATCTTGCGATAAAGAGAAAAGCTCACTCAAGTACAATTTCCCCTAAAAGGGATATCTTATATCTCACCTAGCTAATTACGACCAATTTGGAAGGCAATGGTAGATGCGATTTAGGTCTAATTGGACCAAGTATTACTGCAGCTTAGCCTCCTGATTTCCTGCTTTCACTCTTAGAGGCTTCCTTAAACGTTGCCGCAGTTTGGGCAAGCAGCTGTGGCAGCAAGCAAATTTACTGCCATCTAGTACAGTAGATATCGGTTAATACGACATTCAAGGGGTCACGGGATTTCGTCGTATTATCCGATACGTCGTATTAACCGATACATACTTACATGCTCTCTTATGGAGTTTCGCCATAATGAGGAAAACGAAATCCGTCGTATTAGCCGATATGTCGTATTAACCGATGTCGTATTAACCGATATCTACTGTATACCATTATCTAAATAGCTCTGCTAAGTCCATGGTGAGGCAATGTTACTGCGAAAAGACTGCAGACAACACCCAGAGATGGTGATTTTGCAATCATGCGTAAAACCAGTGCCATTCTTCACACTTTTGCACCAAACAGCATACCTCCTTGAGGGAAAATTATGCTCAAATTAGCTTCTTCTCTCTATCCAGAAATTTTCAGTTTTAAACGCCTGATGGCAAAATCACCATCTCTGTCAAAAGAACTCGAAGCGCTATCTTTAATCAGTTTGTTTAAGAGAAAGGCAGCCATGTCTGGTAATTTCAGACTGTTTCACAGAATTTTCATCTGCTTCTGAGGGGTTTAACAGCTGCTAAAAAGAGTGATATCAGCCGGTTAAGAGCGATTTGAAATGTACTAGAAACTTTGTTCCAACGAATGCAATCTTCAAACAGATGCCAACTATCAATGGTCCTACGAGGAGAAATTTTTCAGTGGGTTTTACCCATCTTGTTTTCTCCACAAGTACATAACGAACAACACGACCCGAAGTTAATGGTGACAATTCAGACTCAGGGAATTTTTATCAAATGCCAAAATTGCTGGCAGGAACTTTGGGTGGTGCTGCTCCTACGTTCAAAAACAATGTAGATTAATAATTATGGTGAGCAGATTAACAAATGAGTCTTGCGAGATACTGTGATGAGGGACTGCTTAGGGACTATAATTTGATCAAAATGATGATACTTACATGAAGGACATCACCGACTGCAAAAATATGCGGGACATTAGTCGTTTCTTTATTTGCATTTATCTTGGCATTCTCCTCAACCTTAATACCAGCGTTGGGTAAGAGTAGTTCATCGGTTAGAGCTCTGCGGCCAGTTGCAATCAAAACTGTGTCAAATTCAGCAGAGCAAGTTTTGTTTGTCTGAAAAAAAAAAAAAAGGTTTGATGAGATAAAAAAAATTGGAATTTCTAAGAGAGACTAAAATTTATATCTTCAGAATGGACTAACGAGAAAGTTATGGAAGCTATGGAGCCGTTCATAAAATAGGTAATGCTCTAGGAGGAGGAGAAGGGGAGAATGTTACGCTATTTTTTTAGACGAAAGGGATCTATGTCACAGAAGCTTTACAAAGTAGGAGGAGGGGCGGGTCAAAAAATCTCAAAATTTGCCTTACATATTTTATGATATGTAATATTTTATATATTACAGGCAAAGGTCGGCCTTTGTTTCTTGCCAAATATAAAGACAAGAAATATTAATCTAGGCACAAAATTATGAAAAAACAAAGCATAAGTCAAGAACTGAAGTTTTACAAAATTTAGATGCAAAATCATTTAAAAACAAAAACGAAACTTTGACCTTGAAAATATCAGAAATGTTTTACGATTTTAAGCAGAGCAAAAAAATCTAAAGGAATTTCCTTCAAAAAATTTTGAAATTTTTAAACCCACTTGAAAGGCTTCCTCATATGTTGTTACTCTTATGAATTTTCTACTTCAAGTGGGAAAAGATCAACTATTTTAAGAAATATTTCTGAGATTGATTGAAGAGAGGTTGTATATCAATAGCCAAAGTGTGAAACGACCTATCTCCGTTTGCGACGCTATAGACTTCCTGTCATACTTCATTTCTTCTTTGAAACTAGTCAACGTAATTTCTTTAAAACTATCTTAATTTTTCTTTTTCGGTAGATTATTCTGTATGAAGTTCAAGCTGTAAAGTTAGGTTCTTTCTTTTAGAAAAAATAAAATAGGAGCAGAAATTTTGAAACACCACAATGGAGATGCATGGTTTTGCACTTCGGCCATCAATATTCATTGCCGAGAATGAATGATGAACAATATGACATAGTTGATGAGAGTCATTCAGATTAATCAACTTACCTCAATATTCTTCCATGTTACTTGAAGTTTACCGGAATCTAATTTTTTCACTTCCAGGGGAACACATTTCATTAAAAATTCGACTCCCTTGTCCTTCAATTCTTCAGTGATGAGGTCTGCCATTTGTGTGTCAAAACCTCTTAAAACAACTGACCTAACCATCACAGTTGCGTTGTAGCCAAATCCTTTCAGGAATCCGGCACATTCTAAACCAATATCTGAATTGTAGGTAGTTAAAGAAAGCATATAAGTACATGATAACTAGGGAAAAACGAAATTCTCATCGCCTGATACACAGGTTTTTGTTTTGTTTTTTTGTTTTAGGTTTTTCATCCTCTTCTGGTACGGCAACACTACATGGGAGCTGCCAGTTAGAAAAGAGCGAAATTATAAAATTATGGGGGGTTATCCAGTGTTCTAGGACGAAATGAAGGATTGAGGAGTATGTTCCTATCAGGGTCACTTTCTAGAAGCAGACAAAAACTAAAAGCTGAGTAATTCTACTCTTTCTGGGGACAATAAAAAGTACTATGAGTATTACTAAATGTAAGATAAACAAAATCTAGGCAACTAATTTTGGCGATCTTGTTTGCATAGTCACATTCAAAAGTCATTGCCTTCCATAAGTAAAAATGTGTTCATGTTACCAGTTTAGAAATTCTGCACTTGGTTTATTTCTTACAGGAAAATCGAACAAAAATTAATAATTTAAATATTTAGCTGCTTATCTCAGCGAGCATTAATGAATTGAAAAATAGTCTGCAAAAAGGATACATCCAGCACCGACAATCAAAGTGTCTCCAGGTGGGGTGGGGTGTGAGAAGATGTCATCACTGGTGATACAGTACTCTTTTGCGCCAGGAATATTAGGATAATTGGGCCGACCACCAACAGCAATGATAACATGTGATGTAGTTAAAACACGTTCCGTTCCATTTTTCAGCTTTGCAACAACTGTGTTTGGATCCTTGAACTGACCTAGACCATTGATATATTCTACTTTTCTGGAAAATTTTAAGAAAAACAAAGGCTATTAAAGTGAATAAAAATATACTTAAATGAAAATTGAAGGGTATGAGTTTAAGATGATTAATTACTATGAACACTGTTAGGGGGCTACAACAGTCTCGAATTTTGATTAAGATAAATTGATTGTTTGAATTCAGTTCAAATCCAAACTGGTTCAAATTGGTCAGATGCGCTATTGTGTTTTGATAATTTCAGATTATAGATCCTCAAAAAATAATAAGGTCTGTCTGAACCCTGAGTGTTCACATCATCTTCATTTTTATTCATCAACTTTTATTCCTTTATTTGGCCAAGTAAGAGCAAATTTGCTGACTTAAAAGTTGTCAAGCGGGGCGCCTTCAATCGTTGGAGTGTGCGACATCACAGGATTAAGTGTGCTGTCGAAAAATGAAGCCGATGTGAAAAAGCGCTCCTCCTTTGGGATGCTTTAGAAATGTTTGAGGTCCTCCTCCTCAAATTTAACGAGAAAAAAGAAGAAAAGTAAAATTTAGCAATTTTTACCCACAAACTTGGCGAGCCAAAAAAACATGATTTATCCTGGTGGGGTAGGGGCGGTGGACATTTTTGACATTTCTATCTCTGAAAATTAAAAATCCAAGAATAATTTTAATTCTCTAACTCCTTGCACTCCAGTTCGGCAAGGAGGATACCTGCTACGCTTGTAATTCCGAAGACGCCGTTCTACTCTTGATTATTATCTGAATTGAGATTATCTTATTGACAGTCTCAACCTTACGATTTGAGACACCAATCTTTTCGGTAACATCTGATGCACTATCTGATCGGTGACACGATGAAGCGTAGCAGATATCCTCCTTGCCGAACTGGAGTGCCAGGAGTTAGAGAATTAAAATTATTCTTGGATTTTTAATTTTCAGAGATAGAAATGTCAAAAATGTCCACCGCCCCTACCCCACCAGGATAAATCATGTTTTTTGGCTCGCCAAGTTTGTGGGTAAAAATTGCTAAATTTTACTTTTCTTCTTTTTTCTCGTTAAATTTGAGGAGGAGGACCTCAAACATTTCTAAAGCATCCCAAAGGAGGAGCGCTTTTTCACATCGGCTTCATTTTTCGACAGCACACTTAATCCTGTGATGTCGCATACTCCAACGATTGAAGGCGCCCCGCTTGACAACTTTTAAGTCAGCAAATTTGCTCTTACTTGGCCAAATAAAGGAATAAAAGTTGATACCTTTGATTTCCTTAAACTAGAGGGTATTTGAAAGATAACAGTTTCTGGAATTTTCATTTTTGGCGTTTCCTCTTTGCCGCCATGTTGAATTTTCCGAAATTTTATTTTGAAACAATGCCATCCAGACTTGTGACAACGTCAGTTGTTTTTCCTCTTCCTAAAAAGCACTTTTCAAACTTTTCATTCCCGGTTTGTTTTTGTTTTTCCGATAATTTGGAGCTCATCGGCGATTTTTTGAAAAGTGGTCAATTTAAAACTTTGACCGGCTGTAACTTTTGAACGAAATAACCGATTTTAATTTTATTTGCGCCATTTTTCTTGTCTTTTTAAGTTCTTTTTAATCATGTCTAAAAAAATGGGGGTTGCCATTTGAATTTTTGAAGTTGCCCCCCCTGGGGCCCCCTCAGGGGGGTCCACCAGGAAAAGCCCCCCATCGAAAAATTTCCCCTTTTGGATGATGAAGAATGCCACAAACCGCGACCTTCTATCTTTTTTTGTTCAAAAGTTATACCCACTTTTCAGTTACTTTATGGACACCCGGTATGATGTCGTGGTGGTGCATACTTTGGTTTCTTTTGCTTTGGTTCCATCCATGTTTTCGGTTGAGTACCAGTACAAAAAAGTGTATCACCTATTGATGATTTCAAGGTGGAAGAAACCATGGCATACACCTGCCGCGGAGGATGACACCATACACAAGGTTTTTCAAAAGGCAACAACTGCATTAATTTTTGACGTAGAAAATAGACATTTGGATGGATCTTACTATTTTTTTGCTGATCTTTAAGTTTAAACCATTAAAACAAAATTCTGCAACCAGTGCAACTGACCCACTCAGTAAACACAAACCAACCCACCTCATATTTGACAATGACACACTAAACTTTTAGAAGCTAGATAGATAGGTATACGTTTCATTGTGCTAAATATTCTGAGGAATTTACTGCACGTGATATCTTTTTTTTTTCATAAGCGGTTGCTTTACAGGAAAATAGCTAGTGTTTAAATCGCAGGCTACAAACATACAAAACATTTCATGTGACTAAAGCACCTTTCTAATTCACTAATTCACCAAAAAGTGCCTGCCTCACACTTTGCTGGATTGAGGTCATAAAATATAGGGAAATCATAGATATGGTAGAACAATGTCATCATTTTTGTTAGTTGCTATGATTTAGAATTTCAAAGAGGACATTCTCATAGATCACGATGTGAAAGGGCACAGTCACACTAAACAGCAAAAATTGCACTGTATCTTAATTAGAAGGATTGCAGGACAAAAATAATCTGGTGCTTTGTTTATTGGATGGTGTGAGGCATTGAGTGTTCAGTTTCTTATTAAAAAAAAGGAAATAATATGAATTGCTGCAATGCTCACATTCAGCTGAACAGTACATGATTTTCATTGAGGAAACTGCACTGCTTGGTTTTCTATTTGTATGCTGACACAATTTTTCTACCAATTATACATTTTAGATTACATGTTCATGAAATGTATAGAAATAAAATTCACTTACTTGTCTCTTAACATTACACGGGTTACCCAATTTACAGATTTAACATGATTTTGTACAGCCGTTTTAATGGCTTCCCAGTCTATTTTGATGGCTTCTGGATCAGGTATCTGCCATCCGTAAGCTTTAGCATCCTATTAAAAAAAATGAAAAATACAGCGATCAGTTTTGACATCTCAGGAGGAGGAGTTTAACTTGCACAAAGGAGGCGGATGGTAACAATACAAGCAGAGTCATTTTGTATTTTAATTTTTAAACTTAAGAATCAAAAAATTTCCTCAAAGCAGGAGGACCAAGCATTACTTTTCCTTGAAACTTAGAGCAATTTTTCTGTTTTTAATTTCAAAGATGTGACATAAAAATTACGAGTAATCTTGTCAGTTGGTTTTCTTCCGAGATATTATATTAAATTCAGTTGCTGAGGCGAGACTTCTGCTAGACAAGAAAAAGCTTGCCGGCATATCTAGTTATTTCTGCAAAAAATAAACTTAGGAAACATATCGATAGATGCTTTTTATGGTCATTTAAAAATTGGAGGAGCATATCCTTTAAGAGACTTTAAACATGAGAGAAAAAGTAAAAGTGAAATATAAGGACTGGTACAAGGGAAAAAAGTGGAAATTGAAGAGTGATGAAATGATGGTGTGTAAACTAAATGATGGCATAACATGAGACTGGTTCTATCCAATATTACATAACAGAAAATTACGAGACCTTGTGAAATTCTTGACTTCCATTAGAGGTACAAGACCATAACAACTACATGGAAGTTGAATGAATGTAGGAGGATCTCAAGTCAAAGAGCTTTAAAAATTAATTTTTTTCCACTTGACTTGAGGGGCATGGCATCCTTTTTGAAGAAAATTTTACGATTTAATCTGTTCTGTGCATTTTCCAATTATTCAATTCCTGAAGACACTCGTATTTTACAAATAAATGTTTTCAAATAAATATTTTAAATTATCATTACTTGATAACTTTCAATGACTTCAAAAATATTAGTTTGCATTGTTACACGGTTGCCACGGATTTAGAAAAATAAATTTCCTGCCATTAGTCTGATTCCCCACATTTACGTTTTGGAAAAATTCCCTGACAATTGAAGATAATGATATTTCCTGACATAAGTCTGATTTCCCGGACACGTTTGGTAAAATTCCCTGACAATTGAAGATAATGAAATTTCCTCACATTAGTCTGATTTCCCGGACACATTTGGTAAAATTCCCTGACAATTGAAGATACGCATGATGAATAAAACAAACAAAAAACTCAAAAAGAAACAAAATTAACTGAACCAGAAACATATAAAACCCGCAGTTTCCTAGAAGAACTATTAACAAATGTCCTGAAATTATATTAGACATTAATCGAATTCTCAGTGACCAGGGCCGAATTAACCTTCTCACAGTCTCAATTGACGAAAAAGACGAAAAAGACGAAAAATTTCCTCAAAGCAGGAGGACCAAGCATTACTTTTCCTCGAAACTTAGAGCAACTTTTCTGTTTTTAATTTCAAAGATGTGACATAAAAATTACGAGTAATCTTGTCAGTTGGTTTGTTGGTTGTTGGTTGTTTTTTTGTCAAAGACGAAATGTGAAATCGTTTTCAGGCAAACTTAGTTGTCCAAAACGTCGAACCCGTTTTGGAAAAAAAGTAAAGGCGACTTGACAATTTTTTCGTGACTTTTCAAAATTCCCTGCCATTTCCCGATATTTTTCTTGATAAAGAAACACAACTTACATGAATGGCTTCTCCTAGTAATGCAGCTTGGTGCATCAATTTCTTCGGTATGCATCCTACATTTACACAGGTGCCACCGATTCCCCACGTTGTTCCCCTGGGTGATGGGATTACGAAATCTAGCACGGCTACTTTTTTGCCATAGCTCACGGCTTCCTTAGCGGCTGCAAGGCCACCAGAGCCACCTCCGATCACAACTAGATCATATTCGTAAGACCCTGAAACAAAAAAGAAAAAGAAAATGTTAAACACTGCACGCAATAAGGGTAAAGTGATTGCAATCCTGATCATTTAAAATACGTAAGAAATTCAATGACACCGAACACACTGCTAATCGATCCTTTTCCATAGAACTAAGTGGTAGCTCAATCGACAAACGCAAAGCACGCCATACCACTGACAAGAAGGTAAATTGTTCTGGGGGAAGAACTTCAAAAAATCTTGCAAAATGCCCTAAAATAGTTCGAAATTGACCAAAATGCCCCTAAGAGAGATCAACTCATCGGAGGCGGGGGTTAGCCAAATACCCTAAGAATGCCCTTTCTGATCAAAGCTGCTTCACGTATGCTTTGTTTCCTGATGTTATGGCTTCCAGGGTGACATGAAACGTGAGGAAAAAATGAAAGATTGGAATTTTCAGTGAAATATTTCATGACATTTCACGAGGCTGTGAAATATTACATATTTTTCAGGGGCTAGAGTATGCAACCCGCACTTAAACACACAAAAATAAAAGGAAAGTCACAATTTTTACATTTTGCGAAACGTGAAAAGGAGCAGGTATTTGTCAATATGTTTTACAAATTTCTGAAATTTTATTAAATATTTCATGTAAAATTTCAAGATTTTATTTTTCATATAATTTTTCCACCCTGTTGAAACCCCCCTGAAGAGACGGAAGGTCGAGAGGGGAACTTAACTTGTACCAGGAAATAGCAGCAAGCGTCGGTGTCTGTTTCCTCCAAGTCCCCGGTAGGGAGCACCCGCGACCGGCGTCGCTTGAACTCGAAGAAAACGAATCGCATGCCGCACCGCCAACGACAAAACCCTCAGCCCTAGCCGGGCTCTTCTTTCCTCTTGTTTTAAACCGCGAAAATCGGTCATTAAAACTCTGGCGAGTCCAAATTAAACATCATACTTCCGTATTCACGTTCAAAAACCAACCGAGAAGACGATGATTCGACTCTTTTGAAACGCAGGCATCAAATTTGTCGTAGAAATACATTGTTCTAAAAATGGAGTAGACCTTGAAAGAATGAGTAATTTTAAGATATTATGTTCTACACATGTACGATAATGCGTCATACAAAAGGGTGACACGTTTTCTCAGATTTCAAATTTTCTTAAGATATTATGTTCTACACATGTACGATAATTCGTCATACAGAAGGGCGACACGTTTTCTCAGATTTCAAATTTTCTTAAGATATTATGTTCTACGCATGTACGATAATTCGTCATACAAAAGGGCGACACGTTTTCTCAGATTTCAAATTTTCTCGAAACATCCCTGGCTTTTCAAAATTTTTGGGGGAAAAAAGGGACTGTTTGCTCAGGAAGAGCCTTACTGCACTGAGAGTTTCCAGCTTTCTTCTCTCGTTTCATTTTTTTTGCGACAAAATATAGGTCATAAAACTTTCCGCGAATTTTTTAAATAGTAGAAAGGACACACTCGAAAAATGTTGAAGCAGAAATTCACTTCGATTTCTTGTTGAAAAAATGAAACAGGCGAGGAAATTAGGCGACTTTTGATGTAGTTGGGCTAATTTTTGGTCGATGTCATCCAAATTTTCTGCTTTTTTAAAGGTTCTAAGTATGAAACTTTTTTCACGGGGAAGTTTGAACGCTAGGTCTCTTTAAATTTAGAAAAAAAAAATGTTAAAACTTTCAGGCAGAAGCTGCTTCTCAAGGAATTAGATTAATACCGTACTATTGGCCCACAGTCATTGAAAAAATCGCACATAGAGAGAATTCCCTCACTTTGCCTCATTTTTTAACTGACGAACATACATTCGCCAGGAGATCTTCAATCGTAATTAATTCGGATATTGATTCAAAAGGAGTGGAAAGAAAAATCACAATTGCAGTGATAAATTTGAAGATTTAGCAGCAAAGTGTACTGATTTTGCCCGGTTTTTCACGGTGGAGTAAAAATGTCGGACTCTTCACTAATTCGCCATCCTATGCCAAAAATCGAGTATGCAACCAAAGTTACAGCGGCCCTTTCTGGTTTATGCGACCAACAATACGGATTCTCCTACCCGAACTTTAGATGACCCAACTCGACTGGGAAAGAAAGAAGCAAGACGATTCAAAGGTTCTCAAGGCAACGTACTTAGCGTAATGAGTCTTTTTCCCAAAGGTTCATCACATGTTTTCATTAATCGGACAGGTTTTCTTTAAAGAAGGTCGCCATTTATAATTCAACGGCTCAAACTAAGAATGTATCATCTACTTTGTGTTTACACGGCTCTCTGTAAATTCAATAATACATTCGGCGCAAAGCAATTTTCCGGATAATATTGACCGAGGGTCAACGTTTGCCATTGTTGGTGTTGATTACCGCGGTGCAAAGGCGAAGCGTGAGTGATCGATTATCGATTTCCCGATTTGAAGCTATGATAAAGAATCGATTATTAGGGTGTTCGTTGCAAACACCCTGTTTATCGATCCTTTTCCACGAGTTTAAAGGGCAACTCAATCGATACATCGCAAAGCACGTCACGCCACTGCCTCGGTGAGAGCCTTTGAGGAATCCTCAGTTAAAAGCAAATATTCATGAAGCTTATGCTATCAATAGCCTACAATTATTTTAATATCGACGGGGACTGCTTTCATCTAAGAAAACTTCTTTGAATCTGAATCGTGTTTGTATTGTATTAAATAATTAATTGAAGTGAGCCTGTCCTTACGGTGGCGAGGCGTGAGTGATCGACTATCTATATTTCCGCATCTGAAGCTGCGGTAAGGAATCGATTAATAAGACATTCGATTCGAATACCCTGTTTATCGATCCTTTCCATAGGTTCGAATGGCAGATCAATCGATACATCGCACAGCACGCCTAATTAACCTTGACGTAAGGGCTTAAAGCAGCCGAAGCTTTGCGCTGCAGTCGGATTATTGAGATTGATGGACACATGCTACAGACAAAGGCTGGAAAGGGAAAATCTAGTGATCCTATTGGTTGGAGCAGGCGGTTGATACAGGAAAACGACGGGCTAATCTTTCGCTGACTTCTACATACAATTTTTATTTTTATACACATTTTCTTTTTTTCTACTTGCACTTTATATTGTTGAAAATTTTCAGTCATTTTAAAACAAAAATAACCCAGAAAAATGGAGGCTCCAGTTTTCAAATTCGTCAAAAATGGTATTTTTCTTGAAAAAAAGGTCATGTATCGAGACAAAAAAACGAGAAATCAAAGAAGCAAAATTCGAAAAAAAAACCTCAACAAGTATCAAGCAATGGTTTAATGATTTGACATTAGCTTGGATACTGCGCTCACAACTCCGCTTAATCCGCTCGGTCGGCCTCCTATGGTGTAGTGGTGGTAGCGCTTGCTCTATAATCGGGAGGTCCCGGGTTCGATTCCCGGCCAGGCGACCCGAGTTTGATGGTCTCAAACAATGGTTGCCTGGGACTGGTTCAGTAGGGACTGAGGGGGGATGGGACTTAAAGCGTGGGATTAGCCCTCGAGGGCTATTTGAAGTAGTAAAAAAAAAAAAAAAAAAAAAAAAAAAAAAAATCTCTCACCAATTTTGTCCTGAGACAGAAATCAGGATCTCCAATGGGCAGTGGGGATTCTTGAAAGTTGGCGACACTGATTTTCCTCCATTTATATATGTAAAACAATCGATCCTTGAAGAGGCGGCTTGCCTCACCTGAAATCGATAATTTAATGGATTTAAATGGGGGGAAACAGTGTTGCCAACTTGCGAAATCGCCACTGCCGGTGGGAATAATGCAAGTTTCCGTAGAAATTATGCAAGGTTAAACTCAGTTAAGTGCATCATCCACAATATCAATGCGGACTACCGCGTAACGGCCAACAGCATTCAAGCTTACAGTTGCCATTGGATCAGAACGAATGTTGTCACATTTATTCTAAATTTAAAGTCATAGATATCCCCACTTCATATTTTTTTCTTTACCAACAGACAGACACATAAGCCTTCGACATATTCTCAAGTGTTCAGCTGCAGGGCGTATTTGAGAGCCTCTCCAGACACTCAAGATATGGAAGTACTTCATTTTCATGTAGTTAAGATTACAAAATGTATCCTGCCAGAGAAAAATAAAAATTGCAGAGACTGCGCGTTAACTGTCAAAAATCACCGATCGAATAACGTGCGACTTGTTTCAGCGATTTAAATTCAGTATTCTCGGTAAGGGAGGATTTTCGTGAAGTTTGCAAGGTTCTTACGTTCAATAGGTACACACTTCTCGCAAGGGCTGTTACTTAAAGAGCAAACTACGTACTTTCAGTCAACTTGAGGAACGCTTACCTCTATTTAGAAGATGGAGACACAGTTTACCCAACTTTTGGGCTGTAATTGAGGAGCTTGGAGGACAAGGCGCATAAGTGCAGTTTTCGAAAAAAATTAGGATATTAATGATTTAAATTAAAACTAGTATGAATACTTATCCTGTGAAAAATTTTCACCCAAATTCTAATTTTTAAGCCTCAAAAAGTTAGTTTAAACTTTCTGTCTGCCGTAAGAATACATGTAATTCCGAAACTTCAAGCACGCTTTTTTCGAAATAGCGAAAACTGCACTTATGCACCTCGTCCTCTTAGCCCCTCGATTGTTAACCTACAAAGCAGCATACAGCGCACTATTTTCGTGGGTGTTAATGAGCGACTCTAGGGGAAAACCTTGCCAGAATCTGTGGGCTGATTATTGAAAGCTATTGACAGCGATAGACAAAGGAAACAAATGAAACATAAAGCGATCTTATTGGTGGAAGCGGGTGGTTGCAATGGACAAAGGAGGTAAGTAATAGACTAACTAACGGCTACCCACGAGAAACCCTATAGCTAGTTAGGACATCATTTTCCTCCTCAGTATTTTACAATCACGTACCCCTTTCAACCAGCACGAACACTCCTTTTATACTTTGCCTATTAATTTCAACGATCAGCCCGCAAGTATTCATGGAACCTTTTAGCCTTTCTACCCGACTCCGCCTAATACCACCTCCTCAATCAGCA